ATTCCATGTATAGTACTGAGGCACTTCGGAATATAACAAATTTCTAGCAAATGTATCAGTTTCGCATAATTTGAAAAAAGCTGTCAACGTAGTCGCTGGTGGGTGTGCTGCTCTATCCAATGCATTTGCTTCATTAAAATAAATACGTTGGCCATTCTCAAGATGCACAGCTAAGTGAACAACCACAGGATGTCTTTCGTGCATTGGAAACGACAGAATCCTCCAGACAGCTTCATTACTACTAATATAGCGCCCCAGTTGATACTGAGTAATTTCATCATTTCTATTATCACCAGCTACACCGAAAACAGCCATATCGCTCCCTTTATTTACATACTTGCAAATATATTTAATGGATTTGACTGAATTACAATACTCCACATTTATATGAGCCTTGAATATTTTCGATAATAATGGACAATACGGAACCACCCAACGATTATCAACTTCAACGTCCTGGTTACGCATTCTAATGTTTGCCGTTTTGCCATTATCATTAGGTGATCTACGTCTATACAACGGATATCCGTCATTGCCCGTTATTGTGTCTGAAGTCAATTGTCTTGGGTATCGTTTCGAACACTTTCCATCAATCATACATGGCGAATTCATATTTAGTTCACCGCACGGACCATGTATCATGTTTTTAACGACAACATCAAATAACTCAGGATCAACAGTTTGATCAGGAATTTCACCTGATATAACGTTATCGATTTGATCCGGAGTTATTTTATTTACCAGCCAAATTAATATATGTGCGTGCGGCAATCCCCTCTTTTGCCATTCGATTGAGTACATATGGCAACGCACCTCTCCAAATACACTTAATTTCACAATTAAATCCATAAGTGCTGTCAATTTTCGCCGAAAAACACGTGCTGTAATGTCATGACGATCAGTTGTCGACTGGCCTTCAAATAAATTGTTCTTGATGTCATCCCACTGCGGATTACATGTAAATGTAATGAACAGATCCGGTCGACCGTATTTTAATAATAATAATAATAATAATAATAATAATAATAAATCTTTATTGGTGAATATTGCACTACATCAACAATCAATACCTACAAACTAAAAATGAAGAAAAAGAAAGCTAAACAAAAAAATAATAGAAAAAAAACATTAATAATAATCATTACAAAAAAATAAAAATAATAAAAAAAAAATAATAATAATAATAATAATAATAATTTTGCTGCAGTGCAATAAAAACCAAATGGAGATCCGCTCAGTGATGGAAGAGGCATCAGTGATGCTTCTATACTGATTTTCAGCGGTCTCCAGAAGGTGTACACTGACAGCTGTGACAATTTATCATTAACAGTTAGCAAACAAAGCAAAACAAAACAAAACAAAGTACAAATCACATCTAAACACTAGTAAAAAGAAAAAAAAAAAACATTAGTAGCAAGTAACAATATAAAAACATATAAACCAAACAAACAATAAAAAAAAATAAATAAATAAATAAACCAAAAATCGTAATACAAAAAAAATAAGTGATAAAACATAGGTAATAAGAATATGAACTTTACGGAACGAACAACTAGGGAACAGGTATATAAAAATACATAATTTCCTTATTAACTTATGATTCAGTCGTAATGCAACCTCTGGTGCAGAGACACGGTAGACTGTGCTCCTAATAATTTTATTAATTAACAATGCCAATTTCAATACACACAATAGGTGACCGTAAAATGGGCAAAAAAAAAAAAAAAAAAGTTAAAGGTAAGTCGATAATTTTATATCACATCAGCTAAGAAAATATTTAAATTATAATTATGTTATTTTATGTAACTAAAGTATAATTATTATGTAACTACTCACTCTTTTGTTTAAGCAACAGGTATTGTTTAAATTTTATTTTAAAAGTTGATATCGATTCCAGGTCACGAAAAGGAGGTGGAATATTATTCCAACACTTGGTGGCGCAATACTTGAAGCTGCCTCGGAAGGCTGCTGTTCTGTGTGCAGGCATTCTAAGCCTAAACAGCGACGCTCGCGTGACATGTTCACTACTGTTTCTTTTTAGCCATTGTAATTTGTGGTATAGGTAAGGTGGAATGTGATATTTAATAACACCAAAAAGTAGCGTTGCAAAATGTAATCGTCTACGGTAATCCATTTTTAAAATATTTGCATTATTTAGAAATGGCGTAACATGTGTACGAGGTGGAATATTAAAACAATACCGTGCGCATGCATTCTGCACGCGCTGTATAACGTTTTTAGTACGTGCAAGCAGGCGGGGACCTATGACTGCATCCGCGTAATTGAATTTAGACAAAACTAAGGACTCGCATAGCTTAATACGGACGTTAGTCGTAAGTGAGTCTCGTAAACGATAGAGTATTTTTAATCTATAAAAACAGTTTTTGGATATGTTTTGAATATGTTTTTCGAAGCGAAGCCTCCCATCCATAAGAACACCTAAGTTACGAGCCTCTGCTACCCTCTCAACACATTCGCCTCTTATTTTCACGTTAGGATTGTAGTCATTAATTAATCGCATTTGACGATCAGTGCCGAAAAACATATATTTTGTCTTGCTAGCATTTATAATTAAAGCGTTTGACTCTGACCAATTGCAAATACGATCTAGATCCTGTCCAAGTTTTTCTAAGGCTAAACTTATCTCGTTTGGCTTAAACGATATATATAGTTGTATATCATCAGCGTACATTTGAAATTTACACATTTCTATTTTATTTACTATATCTGCTGAGTACATTATAAAGAGTATGGGACCCAAAATGGACCCCTGGGGAACACCCCTATTAACCTGGCTACAGTGAGATTTATTAGTATTACAGTCCTCTAATCCTATTTTTACGTACTGAGTACGATTAGACATATAACTCTTAAACCATTCCACAGCTTCAGAGCTAAAGCCATAGTACGTTAATTTTGAGAGTAATAGTGCGATATTTATGGTATCGAAGGCTCGCGAATAATCAAGAAGCAGAAGGATAGTAGCCTCCCCCCTGTCCTGAGCAGAAAGGATATCGTCAATCACATTAGCCAAAGCGGTTGTAGTACTTCTCTTTTTGCGAAAGCCAGATTGTTCGATAGGCAAAATATTATTAACTTCAAGATAGTTCTGAACTTGAAGGCAAACTACTTTTTCAAGTACTTTTGATAAACAGGGCAATATGCTTATAGGACGCAAGTCTTTTAGTTCTACGGGGTTGTTATTCTTTGGTATGGGTTTAATAATAGCCTCACGCCATTGTTCTGGAAATATACCCGTCGTTATTGATTTGTTTATAATTTTTGTTATCAATTTAATTGAATGGGGGAGCGTGGGCAATAACATGTCAAGCGAGATACCATCAGATCCAACGGCGTTTGTATGTAATGATTTGATATGTTTAAATATCTCCGTATCCGTAACTGTATTTATATTAAAAACTGTATCTCCAAATTTATGCGTTAAAAAATAATCAATATCGGATTGCAGAGCGTCACTTCTGCCAGGAACTGTTAGGAAAAAAGTATTTAATTTATCTGGGTCACGTAAATAATCCGGCAGCGTCACATCACATTTTCTATTAATATTAACATTATATTTAATATGTGTCCATAAAAGGCGTGAATTTTTTAAATTTTTATTCACATAAAAATCGAAGTATGCTTTTTTCTCATTTTTTATTGAACGGTACACATAACTCTTCAGTTCTTTATAATAATTGAGATGGGCATCAATTTTACTTTTCCGTGCTCTTGTGTGAGCATTATCACGCAGTTTCATCATAGTCTTAATGGTAGCGGTGATCCACGGATAATGACGATCTTTGATGTTAATACATTTGATAGGGGCTAAAGTATTATAAACACGAAGCACTTCCTTATTGAACTCCACTATCATTTCATTTACACTGCGAAGTTCAGCAATGCAATCCCAGTTAATTAAAGCCAAATGTCTGTCTAGTTCATTCGAGTCTATAGACTTAAGGTTTCTTATACATATTTTTCTTGAATGATACGTATCCTTAACAAAGCTAAACTCACAAGAAATAAATGAATGACTACTTAAAGTACTGATGTGGTCAACCCATAACCGAGAAATAGGTGTATCGGAACAAATCAAATCAATGAGAGTCTCACTGTGGTTCGTAAAATGCGTCGGCTCATTGACATGTTGAGTTAAATTTAAGTACGACAGAAAATCTGAGAGAATATTTAAATTGCCATTATTATTATTGAGACAATTAATATTAAAATCGCCTACTATTATCAGGTGATCTCGCCAGGAAAACATACTCAAAGACTCGTGAAGAGCGTCAAAAAAGGTATGCACACTTAACCATGGCGGTCTATAAGCCGTACCAATAACAATTTGCTTCCCTTTATTTTTGAGACACATCCACATCTGCTCAACGGACGAGGGGGAGTGAATAAGAGTACGTACAGTTATGCCCCGTCTAATATAAAATCCCACCCCACCACCTCGTGTTCGCACCCCAGATGGCCTTGGTATATGACGTAGACTGTAACCTGGAATTTTAGGTGCACGCCCTTCTTCGCCTGGTTTTAGCCAGGTTTCATTAAGGCCCAATATATCTACGTTGTGCCTTTCTACGGCCACAATAAGTTCCTCATGGTTGGTCCCGAGAGAACCGGGGTTTATAAAACCAACTTTCAAGCGTCGCTGATTAATCATTTAATATAGAACCTATCACATACATAATGTAAACTTGAACGCAATAAACACTAACAAGCTTAACATTATAGTAAACAATAAATAATGTATTTTGAATTATTACGGTAATAAGATTAAATTGTAATGTTGTAAACCTTGTTTTAAATGTAACATATTCGAAAAAGTTATCATACTTAAATCTAAGGAAATTATAATATAAAATATACCTAAAACCATTGCAAAAGAAAATTATCAGTAACTAATATTATTTTAAAATACTTATAGTAACTAATTACAAATACATAAAACACTATCTGTAAGTCCATATCCAAATAATTTAATTTAAAACTCAAACAGATGTTTGTCCAAAAACCGTCATTAAGTCATCTTGGGACCGTATCCTATGTGCTGATGTTTCTTTGTTACGCCTTGCATATATACGCCCCTCACGGGTCCATATATATCGCCAGCCATTCTTACGACCGTCCTCTCTGGCTTTGTGGAAAAGGAGCCGGTTTGGTTTTGTTAGCCGTTCGTTAATGTAAAACCGTCTCGGCTCCTTATCTATTTCGAAGCCCGATGAGTCCGCCCCGCGGCGTACGCGCGCCGCTCGCAGTAGTTGATCGCGGATCGCGCGCCGCGCTAGCCGTACCACTATAGGACGCGGCCTCGGTCGTTCACTATTCTCCGCGTAAGCAGGTCGCGGGCCTGAACGCTCGACGTAAACAACATCTCTCTCATCAAGTTGCACACCGATTTTGTTCGATACTAGATCCAAAATATGCGGCAAACTCTCGCCTGCTCGTTCCGTTATGCCGGTTATCTCGACGTCGTTTGTAAGACACGCTTGGTCCCGGTCATTTAATTCGGACTTCAATTGCGCCATTTCCCGCAAGAGACCGCTATTCGGAGAAGTGGTTGTCTCCTCAAGCTGAGCTAGGCGCATCTCCACATTGTCAACCCGCTTGCCTACTTCTGACATTGTATTTTTTAGAGACAGGAGTTCCTGCCTAAAGGACGATACTTCATGTGTCACCGCCACCAGTTCTATACGGAGCAACTTGATTTGCTCAAGCAGCGAACTGGCAACTTCTGCCTCCTCCTGGCCTGTCAGCAACATCGGGGAATCGACATCTTGGTTACCTGATGAAATAATATGCATGGAGCTCAGAGCACTAACTGGCGCCGGTGAACACGGCTTCGGCTTGCACCCCTTGCATATCCATTTCGGTGCCTTAGAATCAGGGCTTTTATTTACGGCACAAGCCCGATGAAATAGGAAGCAGCATCGTATACATTTGACCGTATCAGCTACAGCTAGAAATTTCCCGCAGTTCCCACATTTATTCGCCATCTTATGATATTAATTCAGTTAGTGTTTTGTTTATAGAAGTTAAATGATATCTTTTATTAAAAGACAATTTGTGATTGTGAGCATATAAATAGTGCAAAACACATACGAGGGCTGTTACAATATGCATAAGGTGGGTACACAAAACAGCTGATCGTCACTTTGTGATTTTTAGATGATAATTTACAGCACTTTTGTATACACTTAGTTTTTAATAACACTTTCACAAACTTAAATTACACTGTTTATGAGTTTAATAAAGTTTTTATAGTCCAATTACGTGTTTTATTATTTTTTCTCCAATTATTAATTATTATATTATAGCAAAGAACTGTCACCGCTGTCAGTTGAACACGAACTGTTTTTCGTACATAAGACATTGCGTCTTGTACATATTCGTTCATATGCCGTGGGCTACCAATATACGAAGATGGCAATATAGTTAAACGTCCGATGTCATTAACATTAGCATCATTCGCTATCGCATCTTGCAAATGAATATATTCTTCGGATCTTAATTTTGCTTGGTTGAAACGAATAAAATTAAGACGTTCAGTCTCTATTTTGGCATACATATCAACGATGTACTGATGATATAGTTTACCACATTTTAAGATATAATTTTGTTCTTGTGGACGAATCATCAATCGATACGAATAAAAATTCATGGCACTAACTTTTTTCTGTATATGTAGACCTGATAATAATTACAAAATGTGACTTTAGAAAGTTGTAGAAATGAAATGTCAACACACTAAAAATAGGTCAATTATTTACCTGTTCGTGGATCAATCATTGGTATATTGATATGGTAACCATCGTCACCTTTCCAATGCAATATTGGGTACTGTAATGCATCGTAACTACGATGAAGTTCCGAAACACGTTGCAATTGCTCATTTCTACGATGAAGTACAATATCACGGGATTGAAACTGATCACCAAGAATTACAATTGCAACCTCATCAATTGTTGGTGCATTAAATCGCCTTGCATGCTCTCCAAAAGGTGTTCTATCAGCTCTTATTACGATTTTGTGATTATCAGTTGGCATACGATCGAGAGCAATTTTAAACAATTGAACTAATGCGTTATGCTGATGGAAAAACCTTTGTAGCTCACGAATAATTTCTCGTCTTGTATTCGAAACAATTGCACAACGTTGATCTAATTCACGATTTTCATCACCAATAAAATAAATTTGCAAAAATTGATGATCAGCGTCGGGGTATGGCAATAACGAACCAGCTTGATGATAAATCTGGCCCTGAATCTGTAACATGTATACAATTTTAGGTAAATCTTATATCAGTTTTTTTTTAAATATACTTTATGCTTCAGATTGATACAAACATGGAATAATCCTGTTGAAGTATTTACCTTAAACGTCGGCATAAAATTATCTCTAATAATTTTAGTTGCACCAAAAGAAGTCATTTGAAATGCCGAATTGTATTGTTGAATATGACTCAGAAAGTGCTTCGACGCTTGCGATGTCCCAAAAATAAATGAATACAATGGTTCGGGTGGAGTTTCTAATGCTGGCAATCTCACTTTGCCATTAGCACAACACATGCCGGGTGTTTCACCTCGAAAGTTAGCCGCATCACAATGTGGACATATGGCGTCCATCATTCCAATGTATCCATACATACTATAATCAATCTGACTGTTGTAATTAAAAGCAGCACGCATCATTTCAGCCAAAACAGCACGACGTATTCGTGATGGCCGTGCAAGATTCAGTACAGGTACTGGGTTAACAAATCTATTGCGTGCATTACGTTCACGCTGCGATGCATTAGCTTGTGCGCGTTCATCTGCAGTCTGTGATCGTCTTAGTAATGCCACATCATTTGCATTACGCGTTCGCCGACCTATATTTGCTCGTCTGGCTGGTGGTATTTTTCCCGTATGCACATATGTTTTCGCTTAAAAATCGAAAAAAAAAATTAGAACAAAAAAAAAACAAATTCCCAAGAAGCTGTCGCATATGATGCCATGTGAAATCATATACGGCAACTTAGAAAAGTATACATAAATTCAGGACTCACCGTTTGTATGAATGCACTGCAAATGCAATTATGTGAAAAGAAATTTATCGCTGATAATATGATTTAATCAAACCACGTCCAAAATGAATTGACGGCATGAATGACATAACAACGTGCTTGTCCTGTCAACAAAACTTAAAAAAAGTTTCTGTGAAAAAAGTTTCTATTGAATTCATTTATTACAAAAAATGTGACAAATGAGGAACCGCTCGACCGATTTTGTGCAAACTTCACATAAACCATCTACTAAATATGCCGACCAAATCCTAAGCATTTGGTTTGGATAGGTGAGCCCGTTCTTGAGTTATGGAATTACAACGAAAAGTGGCATTGATTTTTATATATATAGATATATATATATATGAAAAAAACAGATTATACTAGTATAAAATTAAAGATACATTTAAAAAATTCTTAGTTTTTCTTATGGCGTAAGTAAGTAATACCAACATCAAATAGTTCTGAATATTTCTCCAAGTTACAAGTTAATTTAAATTTTACAGCATGTTTAACATAAAATGTAACGAATAACTATTCACTAACAAGACCATTTTGGGAATACAGTTGAGAGACTCGCAGCCGTTGAGTGCAGCCATCTACCGCTGGATTCCAATTAGTTTTTTCCACAAGCACAGCCACTTTCCTGGACACGACTTGACGTGCCGCGTTGCTGATAACAACTCATATTTTAAAGTTGCCTGTGAATATTTTATATTATATAAAAATGGCCTTAAATGTACTTTATTTTCAAATTACTGCGCATTATTGTATAATTTTTAAAAACTACACACTCCCCACGTTTTGGTTACTTTGTAGCAATCGAGATAGCGGGCAGACGAAATTTGAATGTCTTAAAGCTTATTTTTACTTCTCGAAGTTTATTTTTTTTTAATGTATGTATCAAATTTTGTCCTTAAATTAACTCGAATGTATTTTTATTTACAACTTTGTGATATCCTGATATATGAGTTGCATTACTGTTTTTAAATAGAAATCTGTGTTGATTTTTCTGCATGAAAGCAAAATAAATATCCATCCGCAATTTTTTACGATCAATGCGATTTAAATGTCAGATGATGTACATATAAGTCGATTTTTCTGTTTCTTTTATTTATTTCAATCTTAATTTTAGTTTCGTCTATTCATCTTTGTATAGTACATATTTTATACTTGAAAATTTAATCTCTATTTAACTTTTTTAATTATAATACTTTATGAATCTCACAATTTTAGCATATCTTTTATGATAATGGCAAGTCATAATTGGAATATTCTTATCGACAACAGCTGGTCTTAAGTTCGGCACGGCTTATAATTAAAGTTTGGTCAAGTCCTAGTTGACTTTGTAGTAGTTGAACAGCTCCGAGAAACTTCTCGTTCATCTAAGATGTCGAACGCTTGGTCTCAAAGTACAGCATTGTATAAATATTTATCTTAATTAGGGATCCCATTTCAAAGTTTCAGATTAAAGAAATAAGATATATATACATAGATAAGAGTTTATTTGAATGTGCTTCAAACGAATAGATTAACTCAAACGAATAAATAGATTGGATCTTCTATAGTTTTATTACTAAAATACATACACAGACCCCTTTTTACTAGATTGAGATTAATGTTAAATTTTCTTAATACTAAACTGTTCCATGAATATAGATGCTATGAATGAATATATACATATTCATATATTTTTAAAATTCGTTGACACATTAACGTCAATATATGTATAAGGTTTTTCGTAATTACCTTTTTGGAATTATGTTTAATAACATAAGGTGGACCAAAACACAATTTCATTACTAGTCTACCAGATTTATATAACCTGCCTTTACGGTGTCGCGTAAATAAATGTCCACATTTATATTTCGTTTTAAAAATGTATCATTGGCAATTTTTTAAAATACTGTATTAATTTGAAAGTATAGATTACATGTATTTTTTTAAATAGCGATTTGTAGGGTCCAACTGCAAATAAATTTTTCTTTTCAACTGGTTGAAAGAAAGTTTTTCATAAAAAGGTAAAATTACAATTGAATCATAAATATTCTCCTTTTTTACGAATTCAGTTAAAACAAAGTTTTAACGGAGATCTGTCAGTTTCTGAATTATAAAAAACAGTTTAATTAAAATATACTCTCAAATGACAAAAAAGATGTATTATTATTTACTATATATATACATATATACATCATAACAATAGGTAATATTCATTCTCTTTACGGCGGAATGCGCAAGCGACCCTAAGGCAATGGGGGTGAGGTCTTTTAATGGGTATTCCCGGCTTCACCCTAGGAAATTAGACATACTTTCTTCTCTGATCTTCCCTTCGACTCTCATTTTTCGAAATATCAAAGTCATAAATCTCTTAAAGTCCAGTAAAAAGTTACATTCGTACGGATTCTAGTCTTTCTAACATATTTTGTAATAAAAAAAAGTATGACTACTGTTTTAGTTAAAAAGTATTACAAGTGGATTTTTTTAAATCATGTTTTCGTTTTTATATTTTTCGTAAACCACTAAATGATAAATTTAATTTAAACTTAAGGATAGTTGAAAGTATTCATACATTTCCTAGTTGCTCTTCTTATGGCAACATGAGCTGCTATAAATCCTAGCAGTTCATATGGGTTTTGTTACAGAAGTGAACCCGTCGGGATCCGTCCTAGAGCGTGAAATTGACAAAAAACTTGGAAATCCATCACGAATCAAATGACACTTTGAAATTGTAAAGCTAACTGAAGAACGAATTGGATGGACTGGCAAAACAATTAACGCGAACGACCGATGCGAAAAATTGGTATAATCAACGAATACCGTGTTGAATAAAGCCCAAATTTAATAAACGTAATTTTTAAAAGCACTCTGATTTCAAACACTTCAGTGCCCTTTACAAAACGCTGACCCGGTAATGGCATTGTGGACTGAAAAAATATTATGTATTTTTGTTGA